TGATTAAAGCAAAGGATACATATTGTGTAACACTGTTCAAGAACACCTTTATGGATGAATTACTCCAATTTAACACTGCACCTTGTAAGTTTAGAGAACTTTTTTTAACATTCAAAATTGATGCAGCAGAAACAGCGATATCGCCACCTTGTTAAAACACAGAACCTAGTTCACTCGCAATATAGGTCAACGTCTGACAGTTTATCTAGTAATCTGGGTGTAAATTATAGTAGTAACTGCTAATATAGCCTTGAGCCTCTAGCCTCAAGCAGAAATAAGAAGCAGGCAACAAAAATCTCTTACCAACAAACCAACAGTGTTTGAAGAAGCTTGAAGCAATTTGTCAGACTGTGCATAGCCATTTCTAAAGCAAAGATTGCACTTTATAAACGATGAAGATAATTTTGCTTGCATGAATCAAACTGACATTTGATAATCTACGGGCAGAAAAAAAAGAGCATCTCAACCTCCTGACTGCATGAAAGCATCCAACGAAAGGGACTGATTACCAAGTAATTACCAAATTACTAAATTCAGAGTTCTTCTGGTAGAAGAGTTCAGTCTGGTAGAATCAGATTATTTTGCTAAATCCAGTGATACTGTGTAAAAGTCTTGAGTCAGGCCTCAATTTGTTCTATTTTGCCTCCAAGGAACCAAACGTTCTTGTCATTTTTAAAGTGGTCTTGAGCAGTAGTTCTCCTGGCTGGTTAATCATAGTTTCATTTAAAAATTAGCTGCTTTTTAACTTATTTTCAGACCAGAAAATATGAACATTTTCACCAGCATTTTTTTTGGTTTGTTTGTTTAGTAAGTCACTTAACTTGACTCATTCAAGCATAAAAAAGGAACTTAACAAAAGGAATAAAGCAGTGTTGTATCTACACATAACAGGAAAAATGGCAACATAAGGTTTTTAAAGGTGCTCTGTAGCAAACGGTCAGGTCAGTCAAGTTTAACCTGTAAGAAATGCAGCAAAACACAAACAAACAAACAAACAAACATTGTTTTACAGGCATAATATAGTGTTTTTGCAACACCAAGTTGATTCCTAAAGAGCTACTGGCCATAAAAGTGGCCAGTCTAAAGACCACTTGCAGCCACCAGTGCTAACCCTCAGCCCCCTAGTGGATACACCTATGGTATCGATTTCAAAAGTGACTACATTCAGAATTTGCCCTGTGACCTTAAGATAAAGGTCACCGGGATTCAAACCTGTCTGAGAATTTTAGCAGATACACCTATTGGTACCAAAGCTCCTATGCTACCTCGTTATGTTATCACATTTGAAAAAGCAGCTTGTCCACGTTGCCTGCCCATCTAATGGGGTTATAATAACAATAACTAAAAGTCATGTTATTCAGCAAAGACCAGACACAGGACCTGAGAAATGTATTTGGTCCATCAGTTGATTTGATCTACTGTTTGCTGAACCCTTATCAGAAAACGGTCTCAGTGCAAATGTACCTGCAGAAAGCCATTTTTTAAGGAAGCGAAATGAGAAGAAAAAGCTGAGGTTTGCCAAATTACACAAGAACTGGGCTGAAAATCAGTAGCAAAAAGTCTTAATGAGTGCTAAATCCAAATTTCTAATTTTTATATCAAATCGTTTCCAAAATGTATTAAAGAAGTCAGAGGAGAGGTACAACACAACAACACAGTCATCCTTTGGTGCTGCATTTCAGCCAGTGATCTCGTCAAAAACGATGGAATAATGAAAAAAGAAAATACTGTCAGATTTTGATTCATCATGCAATACCATCTGGAAACTGTCTGATTGGCAACAGCTTCATTTTTCAGCATAACAATGATTCCAAAAACACTGCCAATGCAAAAAAAAAAAAAAGCACCTGGATGGAAGAACACACAATGGAACACACAACTATCAGGCATGGATTCACATCCCCAGAGGCTGGACTTCAAAATTATCTAAACAGTTTGGGATCATCTGGACAGAAGTGAGCAAAAGGCAGATGACATCCAAAGAAGATGTCTGGAATTTCCTGAAGAACTATTCCTTATAACTACTTAAAGACATTACGAGGAAGCTTGCCGAAGTGAGTTCGGGCTGGTTAAAGACAAAATCTTATAAATCCTCTAACATCTTTAAAGACCACAAATTAAATAACCTCAGCATTTACACGGGGTGAAATTAAAATTATGGTAACAAAAGTAGTCCAGTAAAATATACCCCATTTCTTATTTCTCAGTTTGTACATCTTCATTTCCTTTTCTCGCACTTTACCAGAGTATCAAATGAAGGAGGTGATAAAGAGATATGAGGAGAGAAGAGCTGAGGCAACAGGCGTTGAACAAAATTAAAAATCACTGCTTCAGAGCCTCATTTAAAATGGATTTCTAGCGAAAACAACTATTGCCACAGGTGTGTCATAAATTGCTTTGTTATATCCCAACTACAGCTGTATTTGTTTCATCTCAGATGGTCAACGGTTTTGCAAATCAGCATAATATTTTTATTAAATTAAAAATGTGGTGCAATGTGACCAGATATACTTCTTTTGTTAAATGAAACACACACAGATCATTTTCACTTCAGATGCATTTTAGGAACTGAGCATTGTGTGCTGAGATTAATTTCCGGGCAAAAGGACAGGAGACACAGGAGACTGGTTAATGCCACTGGTTGGTGGTTACCGACTTAAGTAATGCCTGAGAATCTAACTATAATATTTTAAGATGCATTCTGGCCTGATTACGGTTCAGTTTAGTAAAACACAAGGAAGTGAAAAAGTGAAACACAAAATATAAAAAGTCATGCATTACTCACCTGAGTATAACACCAGCTCTCAGCCACAGGACTGCTGGACATTTCTGCCGGTGGTGGGGGACTTGGTACTCTGGACATTGCCAGCATCGATGCTGAGAGCACCGAGTTGGGCAGTGGCAGCAGCCAGATGTGGGATGAGGTGGTATGAGGTGTATGAGGGAGGAAAGGTCCAATAATCAGTCAAGCCGGCTGCCTCTTAAACCCCTGCCATACAGAGAACAGCAGAAAGTTGAATTCAGTACAACAGACTCTAAAATAGCTACAGGCTCCCTGTAGTGTCACAGAAATACAGCCATTAAAACAGTTTGACTTTTAAAGCAACAAAACCGATAACTAAGAAACCTGTGACCTTGTGCATCCCGTGTGTGCATGAGCCTCTCTTTGTACATGTCACGGCAATTCTTAATTAAATGTTTGGTCTAATTGAGTGGTATTTCCCAGTAAGTAGGAAGCCAGGGCTCTGGATTTATTTGTTTTAAAAGAGTCTTTGGCAGTCAAAGCACACCAGCAGCGTGCACTCGGCTTCACTAAGGGAAGCCTTCCTTTATCTGCGCGTGGTTTCGTCTTTGTTTTGCTTTGAGATGAACAGAGTGCTGTGCCAGCCATGTGATTCCAGCCAGGCTGGACCCATCCGCTGTGGCTGTAAGCGAAGGGCAGGACTTAAGACTTTCATCTCAAGCAGCCAGTCTGTACTCACAACACACACAAGGTCACACTTTACTTTCAAACGACTAAGAAAGGTCAAAGTTTTGTTTGATAAGCACCTGTTCCAAGGCTGTTTTTATTCCAGAATACTGCGGTTCAGATTTAGACTGTAATGGCTACATCACCTCTCCGCTTCCATTTGAAGCCTCATTATTTTCCTATTCTAATTTTTGGTCCGTTCTATACTAGCAGTCTCAAATGCCTGAACATCTTACTGAAAAATAAAAAGGAATATGCGCGGTTTGGTTTCAAAGTGTAATTTCTCTGCTGTCTAAATCTCTCATTTCCTCTCGTCTCATTCCCTTACGCTCCTTTCAAGTTCCTCTCCACAAATTTCATACCTAAGTCATCAAGGTCTCAAGATCTGGCTTTTCTCACTCAACCTGCAAGTCCCCCTGATCTCCTGCCAGAGAAACCCTTCCACTCCATTGCTTAATTAGTGTCTGATTGAAAGAGAAGTTTAGGACCTAAGAAAACTTGGCAGAAACAGTACTGGACCAAGAATCCAGAGAGACAAAAAAAAGGGAAGGAAAGGGGTAAAAAGTAAGAGGAACCTCTGTCTCTTGGTGAGTGGATTGGAAACAGAAGAGGCGACACGCGGACCTCACCGGCTCTAGAACCAGACAACTTAATTAATGTTTAGAGCCTGAATCTGATCATCTCAATTCAGTGGCCCCTTTTCTTCTTTTGTGCCACTTGTATCTGATGAAAACACTGGTGGCATTTTCGCTCAGTAAAACAATAAAATATTAATCAAAAAAAAGTCGGGAGAAAAAAAGCTGTACTCATTTGCAATTTAAATTACCTGAGACTTCCTGGCAATTAATTACAGTCTATACGAGTGAGCGAGGGTGATTTTTTACATGCGCGTGTGTTTCCTCGTGTCATCATTCTGGTATTGTATCACAGTGTATTCAAGGCACGATTTACCAAGTGGCTTTCTTGTATCATGTCCCTTAAAGAGCACCATGAATGCCTGGTAATCACAGGAAATCAATTTAAGAAAACATGACAACACTGGCAGCACTGCTAACAGCCTCACAGCTTTCTAAATACACCCAGATGACACTTAACCAGAAAAAAGCTTGGGATGTTTTTTTTTCCCTTGTTTTTCATGACAAACATCAAGAGCAAAGCAGTAGGAGAAAAGCAACAATAACAACTGAGAGACAGAGGAGATGCGCGCTAATCATAGGACTCCCTCAGGAGAAATGTCTTCAGACAGTTCATTTGTCACAGGAATCTGAAGATGACGGTGTGAACGAGAGGAATGGCTAATAGGTGATAATGCATATGATGTAGGGAAAATAAATATTGTCACATTACAGTGTATGGCAGGCACAAAGACTGTGCTCTCCCAAAGGCAATTAAAAGACAAAGGAGAGAGGTAATCGAGGTGCTGTGGTTCAGATAAGGACTGAAGAACTTTTTGCAGCTACTTGGTAGCCATCAGCACTTCCAAGGTTGGATAAAAAGCAGTGAAAATTAGGATGAGGATAAGAAGTGCTTAGAAAGAGAGAGAGCAATACAGAAGGACAGCAAACAAGTTCAGATTCTGCAGAGTATACATCAAAATTTCTCTGCCTGCAAATACAGCAAACTAAAGAACTAGACAACAGTTTACTATTCTGTAACAAAAGCATACAAACGCTGTGCTAGGGACACTGCATTGTGAAGACTAAATGACCTGTCCTTCTTTACCACTGCAATTTTTGAGGGCTATTGTTGTATTGAACACCACTAAAGTAAGAGGTTCTATTTTTAAATCTGAAAAACTAACGTCACACGTTCACCAAAGTATTTTCTGCACGGTTTTCACATCCAATTTACAGGCCATATAAAAAATGAATTGAGTCACAAAGATGTCACCACCTGGTTTGTAAACTGCCATTTCGAAGACTCTGTTTTAGCATTGTGGCATTGGCTCTCCTTTTTTGTTTGTTTGGGGGGTTTTTGTAACTGTTAAGTTACAAGATAAATGGTAAATGGTAAATGGCCTGTATTTGTATAGCACTTTACTAGTCCCTAAGGACCCCAAAGCGCTTTACATATCCAGTCATCCACCCATTCACACACTGGTGATGGCAGCTACATTGTAGCCACAGCCACCCTGGGGCGCACTGACAGAGGCGAGGCTGCCGGACACTGGCGCCACCGGGCCCTCTGATCACCACCAGTAGGCAACGGGTAAAGTGTCTTGCCCAAGGACACAACGACCGAGACTGTCCAAGCCACGGCTCGAACCAGCAACCTTCCGATTACAAGGCGAACTCCCAACTCTTGAGCCACGATCGCCCCAGGCGATAAAACTACAGAGCCTGGTTAACAGTGCTGCGATGGACTGATGGACTACATCGCACAGTCACAGAAACCTGCTAACGCTAAGCGACTGTTAGTCATGATAAAATAATGCTAAAGGGTAAATGTTCACAAAAATGTGTACAGGGGAGTTATTTAAAAGTTTGCCCCCGAACAGCTGTTGCAAAAATTGTCATTTCTGCTGGGCATTTTAGCATAGAAGTCCATGGGGACTCATCTTCAGAGCAATTTGTCATCATTTGAGTAACTGGAAATGAGGAACTGTTTCTGGCACTTCTGCATGAGCCTTATTACAGTCTTGGATGTTGCCACTCTGGTTTTAACCCATTCTGCACTTACAATAATTACAGTTTAATCAAAAACAGAAAGTGCACGGTAGAAAAGAGAAAATGTTCTGCACTCCTGTCCTTCAACATCAGTTTTTGCACATCTTTACTGAAAATGTCACTATCACAACATCTTGACTGACAAGACACATCATTCTTGATTTTCTGCACAACAACCTCAGCACTAAAACCTCTCGCAACCATTCATTTTTTAACCTATGGTTCATTTCAAGAAGTCATGTTTTAACAAATGTTCTTACTTTACATTCACATAAGTGTCAAAATGGTTTATGTCTCTCCACATACTTACACTTAATGTCTCTCAACACACACTTAATCTTAAATGATATACAACAATTTATCAGCTCTTTGACATTAGAATTTCCTCCGTTTTTTACATTTCAGGACGACAGACAGTGAATAATTAGAAAAAGAAATAGTTTACAAACTACATAAGCAGAATAAATGTACCCTTCAGATCAGAATTCAGTGCTATGTTGGGTTATAAGTGTAACTTGTGTGCTTCCTTAGGGCATGTCGTCATTTTTTACCTTTTACCTTGCAGAAGATTATGTTCAAGATGCCCCGTTCAAATGACAGCATGGCACAAAACAAGTTTGATCTTCCGTTTTCTGCATGTATAATGCAGAAGATGTGACTGTGTAGCAAAAGGAAGGAGGAGGATGGGCCAACTTCAACCCACATTCTCATCCCATGGCTGCTTTCAGAAAGGTAGGCCAGATGAGGAGAGTGAGACCTGGAGCCCATTTATATTCATTACAGAAAGACAGTCTGCTCTCACTCTACCAGTCCAGTCACCATCTCTCTCCATCTCTCTGTCACATACTTCCACACGCCAGGGAAGAGACTCTGACAAACCAAAAGACAGATAGATTCAACTTCTTCTGCATAAACAAGAGGTAAGCGAGGTGATGCTGCGTCTGCCTCTGCCATCGGGATGAGAGCTAGAGGCCACCAGCTGTCCAGGCTGTTACAGCCCCACGGTATACCGGTACCGCATCACTAACATGTTACACACTAAGTCAATACATGACACTCGGCTCACGGTGTAATAATTCCTGTGCTGCGATATTCACTCCATCTGTACATTTTACGTGGTGATAGCATATTCTGCGCATATGTTACCTCCATCTGCAAATCTGATATTGTGAAGAGCTTACAATGCATATTTACACTCGAGGACACATTTCTGTTCATTTGTTTTTCCATCTGTGCTTGTGACAATCTGAAAAAGCTGGTGATGCACATCGCTTGCACAGCCTTCCCAACCCAACCTCAGTGTCAGTGAGAACAATGCATATTTAGCTTGTTTACTTTCAATATGTCTAGCTGTTGGAGTGTTATCTTTACTTCATTGCAGGTTAAAATATTTATTGGCCCTTCTAAAAAAAAAAAATCTTAACAGCATCAAAGAAATGCCAAGTTTGCCAGACTTTTGATATTTAAAACATTTCCAATCATTTAACTGGACTTGCTTGGGTTTGCCAGATAAAACGTGTAGATCACCAATAAGATCTCCATGCAGGATCCATTGGTGCACAGGTTAACAACCATGGTGTAGATAGGAAGAGAACTGGATAATGTGAACAATGTTGTAGAGGTGAGGAGAATATCAGCCAGGATCATGAGTTTGAAGGTGGAAACTGAAGCGTTGATGCTGAATGTTCTTCGATGAAGAAATGCAAGTAAAAAGGAACAGGTGTGATGAGGTGGTGCTAGATAGATATAGTGTTAAAAAGAGAAAAGCAAAGTACAGATGGGAGAGAAAAGGATGGATGAGGTGAACACGTATTTCAGGAAGAGGCAGGAACATAGGGTGACAAAAGGTAGGGA